AAGTTTTCCGTTGGAGCCCGCGCAGGCGCAGACTCTCCACAAGTGTGAATTCGCAGAGACCACGAAGAAAAAGGTAGGATATAACTGGTACAGGGTTTTCAAAGAGAGATGAGGGAACGCAGTCAGTCCTAAATCAGTGGTAAAGTGCATTTTGAGAGCATATTGCTGAGAGTGTTCCTTATTCTGGGAAGGCACACTGGAACAACCACGTTTCAGGCTCCTCCTAAAGACTGCCAGAGTTGGGGCATGTCTGATGTCCTTGGGAAGTGAAAAATGCTATTTATAAAAACTGTTTTAAATTCCCAAAAATCAGTGAATTACTGAAATGTTCTGAATCTTTGGGGGAGAGGGGGCGATAACAGAGGTAAATGTGTTCTAATGTTGTAGCAAGTTTCATCCTGATAGCTCTAAAAATGAGGAAGAAAAGAACCCTGGAGGCTCCCCCCCTCCCCCACGTGTAATAACATAACAAAAAAGTAAAGAAAAACTATTTACTTTGTTATAGTTACAATAGAGACCTCTAACGATATTTTAGAAACACTTTAGAAATGATTCAATGCCACCCCTAATTTAGTAATGAAAATTGATTTTTTTTTCATTGATCACACAGGCCTAGCAGTACTAAATATCAGTAGTACACATAATATAGCGCAAGCTGCCGAAGAGGTCAAGCAATGTTATACTATGCCCTAGCAAGTGATCGGATGCCCTTTACAAACACATTACTGAGATCAGCATGGAAAATGAAAATACAATAGCTTCCAAGGATTTAATCATGCAACAACTGTATGGGATACATGCTCTCCAGTTACACCTCCTCCACAAGGTAAACATTTGTTTGAGCTAAACTGGTAATGAAACCCATTCAGTGCATTTTACACTTGTCTCCTCAGAAAATATCCAGTTTAGTCCAGTCAACAAAAGTGACACTTCCTAATGATATTAAGTTTTTTTTTACACTATAAAATTATAGCACTTTGATGTTACATTTAAGGGTGCACCTATACTGTAGGATTAATGCCGTTTGCCCCCACTTTAACTACCAATGCTATGGGAGTGTCATGAATGACTTTTCAATAACTTTGAAGCATAGGTACTTTTTATTGCAGTTTCCAGTGTGAGAGGGTATATCAGATTACAGAAAAACATTTAGACATCAAATGACATTGGACATACAGACATACAAATTCTATGCAACTACATTGGATTTACATCCCATCTCGAAATTTAAGATCGTCCGGGGAGGCCCTGCTCTCGACTCCGCCACTATCACAAGTGAGGTTGGCGGGGACGAGGAGCAGGGCCTTCTCAGTGGTGGCCCCTCACCTGTGGAACTCACTCCCCGGGGAGATTAGATCAACGACCTCCCTTCTGACGTTCAGGAAAAAACTGAAGACCTGGATATGGGACCAAGCTTTTGGACATGCTGGCAGCTAAAGGAAGATCTGACGACAAACATGGACGAATGGAATGGAATGGATATACGGAACTCTGAACACTGAGCATGAGATTGTTTTGCTATTTTATTATGTACTAATGTTTTTAACTTGCTAACTGTCTAAATTGTTGTAGGTATTGTTTGTTTATTGATTCAGGCATCGAATTGTGCCGTTGTTTGTAAGCCGCCCTGAGTCCCCCCTCGGGGGTGAGAAGGGTGGGGTATAAGTAATTGAAATAAATAAAAAAAATACAATTACATGGCTAACAAATAAACAAAGGGGAATTGCATTTTCACTCAACATTCACACCATATGTACAGGCATTCATCCTCAGGCATTCAAATATTACTATATCCTTTTCTCCCTCCTTGGAGAAGCACCTGTTTGGCCATACCCTGATTTCCTGCACCCTGTCAATGTACAGTTCCAAAACTTTCATAAGGCATAACTTCAAAACACCAAAATGCCAAAACTTCTTTCCCTAAGAACAATGCCAAGGATCAGATCTCTGTTTTCCATTCAGCAGATCCTGCGCAAAATCTAAGACTGCAAAAGCACACTTCTTCCTCTTCCCTTGAGAAAGAAGCCCCAACATGACCAGAATCATGCTTTCCCATAGCATATCTGACCCTCTCCATAGGTACACTATCTCTCTTCTTCCCATGGAGCAGAGCATAGCGGGTCTGCCTTAGGTCTGCCACACTTTGAGTATTATTAGACTGAGTCTTTTATAGGAATGTTCTGTTGATGTAGTCCCAAAGTTGTAAATGAATGATAGACGTCTTCCATCCTGGCTCCATTTCAGTGTCCTGGCCAGATATTGATCTTCTTGATTGGTGTTGATCTTATGTTACTTCCTTCTTAACATTGTAAACATTTCTGTTATCAGTGTCCCACTTCTTATCAGAGTTTACTTTTCAGTTCTTATTAGCAGGTTTTAATCACAGTCCAGCAAGCAGGTAGTTAGTCATTGCAGGCCTTAATATTATACTGATGTCTCCAAAATTATGAACTCCATCCATCTTCCATTCTTCCATTCATTCCCATTTATTAGATCCACATTTATCAAATCTGCAATGATACTTTTGTGACAGGAGCTCTGTTTTTTCAAGGTCTTTAGGCTTCTCTGCCAAAGGGTTATTTGGCAAAACAAGCTGAAGATCAATCCCGACAAGACAGAGGTCCTCCGGGTCAGTCGTATGCCTGACCGGGGTATTGGGTGGCAACTTGTGCTGGACAGGGTCGCATTCCCCCTGAAGGCGCAGGTCCTCAGCTTGGGGGTCCTCCTGGGCTCAGCGCTGACGCTTGATGCGCAGGTGTCAGCGGTGGCCGGGAGGGCCTTTGCACAATTAAAACTTGTGCGCCAGCTGCGACCATACCTGACTTGACCACAGTGGTCCATGCCTTAGTTACCTGTAGACTGGACTATTGCAATGCACTCTATGTGGGGCTGCCCTTGAAGACGGCCTGGAAACTTCAATTGGTCCAACGTTCGGCAGCCAGACTTCTAACCGGGGCGAATTACAGAGAGCGGTCAACGCTCCTGTTTAAGGAGCTCCATTGGCTGCCATTCATCTTCCTGACCTAATTCAAGGTGCAGGTTATTACCTACAAAGCCCTGAACGGTTTGGGACCCCCCCTACCTTTGTGATCGCATCTCCTACCACAAACCTGCACAATCTCTTCGATCCGCTGAAGAGGCCCTTCTCTCGCCCTTTCCTCTATCACAGACTCATCTTATGGGAACAAAGGAAAGGGCCTTTTCCGCTGTGGCCCCCCGCTTTTGGAATTCACTGCCTAGGGAAATCACGCAAGCCCCCACACTAGCTGGTTTTAAGAAAGACCTAAAAACCTGGCACTTCCGTTGTGCTTTTGGAGAATGACCACTCAACCCATCTGGTTATCTTAGCTACAGCTGCCCTCAGAATAAAGCATCTTCCCACCCCTAAAATATTTGTCGTGTCAGGAGCGACTGGAGAAACTGCAAGTCGCTTCTGGTGTGAAAGAATTGACCGTCTGCAAGGACGTTGCCCAGGGGACGCCCGGATGATTTGATGTTTTTATCATCCCCTAAAATGGCTAAATCCCATGGTTCCTCCCTGTTGGGCTCCTCTCCTACAAATGCACTTTTATCCCTATCTCACCCAGGGTTTTAACTTTTTAACATTTTACCTCATACATTTGGCCCGCCCTCTGTGTCTGGTTTTACTCTGCTGTTTCATATTGTTGATTTTGTTAATTCATATTTTGTTATGATGTATTTTGTTAAATAAATAAAGTGTATTATTATTATTATTATTATTATTATTCCGGATTCTGTAGTATTGAGCTCTGGAAATTAAATCGCAGAAAATGTGGTCCCCATTCTTGATCCGGAGGCATCTCCATTTCCATCCACGGCTGAAACAAATTTTAAGGAAAATGTTCTCCATAGATTTTTGTTTTTCATCTAGTATTTGTGTTTTTGAAAACAAAGTTATAAGTTGACTCTGGGAGCTGACTGACATGACAAGGGGTATATATATAGCTCTGGACATGGAGAAAAGTGGAGAGGGTGCGCAGATGTAGGGGGGAAGAAAATCCATGGCTGTTGTCAGGAGAAAGGGTTACCTAGCAACTTTGACACAGGCTTCTCTTGTGTACAAAAGTGGGATTATTTTGCAGACTTTCACCAGACAGCAGTGAAGGGGGAAAACACCTCTCTGCCCCATGGCTGTAGCAACCCTTTAAATGGTGAGTAGCCCATTTATAAATATTGAGCAAGAGACACATCCGGCATTTGTTATTTTCTTTGTTCAAATGCCAAAGCTGGAGGCCAAATTATCTTTTGCAGATCCTTTAAAAACAATAGCTGTTTGAGAACCAGACAGCTGGGGAGAGAGGAGAGAAAAATAGACACTGCCTCCTACATCGAATTTAAGTACATGCCCTGTAACAATTGGTTAAGAGATATTTTGGATAAGAGATACACACAAGTTGAATATCTCTTATCCAAAATTCTTGGAACCAGAAGTGTTTTGGATTGTAGATATTAAAAATAAAATTAGAAATACCTCTATATGCATAAAGGCACATAATGAGATATCTTGGAGATGGAAGCCAAATCTAAAGGCAAAAATGTTTTATATACAACATATACACATAGGATTAAGGTCAGAGGCAGCCCTAGGTAATTTTCAATGGTAAGCAAACAGTATTTTGGCGCCCCCCCCCCCCCCAACCAATCACTGATATATATTTTCTGTTCGTCGTGGGAGTTCTGTGTGCCATATTTGGTTCAATTCCATCATTGGTGGAGTTCAGAATGCTCTTTGATTGTAGGTGAACTATACATCCCAGTAACTACAACTCGCATATGTCAAGGTCTATTTTCCCCCAAGAGCTCCTCAAGAGCACCCCTGGGCAAAATCAACAATACTGCAAATGCTTACTTTGCGTAATGGGTTGAGCCGCCCCTGATTAAGGTTTATTTGTAGTAATTTTGTGCATGATACAAAGTAAAATTTCACTATCTCACCTATGTGATCAGTTTCAGGTTATGCAGTATTTCAGAATACCAGACATGGGACACTCAACTTGCACACATGTGTGAAAGACTTAAATGTGCACACTATATTCATGTTTTATTCTAAGCATTTTAATCAGATAGAATTATTATTATTATTATTATTATTATTATTATTATTATTATTATTATTATTTGACTGTGACAAAGAACTGGTGAGATCACAAGCCGAAAAAAGTTCAGAGAATGAACACGTCAAGCTGCTCTGGGACTTCTGAATTCAGACAGACAGAGTTTTGGAGCACAGTACTCCTGACCTCACAATCGTGTTAAAAAACGTTTGTCGATGTTGCAATCCCAGGTGATAGCAGGATTGAAGAGAAACAACTGGAAAAGCTGACACGATATGAGGATTCTGTGTGTGTTATCCTTCACAAACTGCCTGCTTCAGACTGCATTGGATGGCATCAGTAAAGGAGATAATAATAATAATAATAATAATAATAATAATAATAATAATAATAGTCCTAGATGCTTGGGAAGTGTTCAACTTGTGATTTTGTGATACGAAATCCAGCATATATATCTCATTTGTTGTGACGTACTGTGTTCTTGTGTCAGTAAAATAATAATCATCATCATCATCATCATCATCATCATCATAACTTGTGCCACAAATACCATATGCCTGCAACAAAGAACTGGTGGGATCACAAGCCTGAAAAAGTTTCAGAAAATGAACATGTCAAACTACTCTGGGACTTCCGAATTCAGACTGACAGAGTTTTGGAGCACAATACTTCTGACCTCACGATTGTGTTAAAACAACAAAGTTTGTTGATGTTGCAAGCCCAGGTGACAGCAGGATTGAAGGGAAACAACTGAAAAAGCTGACACGATATGAGGATTTAAAGATCGAGCTGCAAAGACTCTGGCACAAACCAGTCAAGGTGGTCCCAATGGTGATCGGCACACTGGGTGCAGTGCCTAAAGAGTTTGGCCTGCACTTAAACACAATCGGCGCTGACAAAATTGCCATCTGCCAGCTGCAAAAGGCCACCTTACTGGGATCTGCACGCATTATTCGCCGATACATCACAGAGTCCTAGACACTTGAGAAGTTTCTGACGTGTGATCCCATGCAACAGCCAGCAGAGTGTCTGCTGTAGACTCATCTTGTTGTGCTTCAAATAATAATAATAGATTTCACTGATTCTAAGATTCTAAAAAGTACCTTAGAATATTTCACTGATTCTAAGGTACATTTTCCCCATATAAACATCTCAAAAAACAGAGTGCACCTTAGAATTGCCAGTGAGTTATATCTAGAGTAAGGCCCTTTCCACAAAGCAGTATAAAATCCACTTTGAACTGGATTATATGGCAGTATGGTCTCAGACAATCCAGTATAAAGCATATAATGTGGATCATCTGCCTTGATATTCTGTCTTATGAGACTGTGTGGAAGGGCCCAGAGAGAGAGGTTTTTTTCTGTTGGTGGTACTGAAATTGGTGTGTCTTAGCTTCAGTGGCATCTTAGATTCGATGAATTGTTATATTTCCAACCTGGCTCTTCCTAAGCTTTAAAAGGTACAATATAAATTAAATGCATTATAACTAAAACACATAAAACAATTTAAAATACATGTATTAAAACACATAAACATAAAATTAAAACATAAACATAAAATTAAAACATAAATACTACACATATAAAAAGCTCAGTTGGGTAAACTAAATTAAGAACCAATTAGAGCCAGCTTCTGATTCATAAGCCCATTTTTGTGAGCAGTACTGTTTGGTCAAATAGTATCATCATCCTTTCACCTCTAATCCTGCAATTTCTTTTGGGACTTGACATTTTATTCTATTGGTCCATATGCCTAAAACTCAATTAAGATGTTTGGTGATTATTTATTTCGTATCAAAAGCATTGCATAAATTAGTATAAAACTGATAAAAATAGAAGGAGCGCAGATGGCTAAATATCTTTTGACCAAAAACAGGCAATGGCATTGTCTGTAGCCTCCAACAATTCTTCCTCTGTACATGAGGCAAGACATAGTGGACAAGCATACAGATGCGGAGTTGTCAGTTCTGCTCCACAGTCACACAAGGTGTGGGATTCTTTTAGGTAGTGCCATTTTGTCAGGTTGTCTTTTGTTCTGCCCATCCCACTTCTGAGTCTATTCAGGGACTTCCAGGTTGCCCATTCTTGGTTTGCCCCTGGAGGAAGACCCTCGCGGGGGGTGGGGGAGGCATCCAGTTGGGGTTTCCTGGTTTAGCTGCCCAGAGGGATACCCTTGCTGTTGCTGGAGGGACGCCAAGAGGAGTGACAGTTTTCCTAAAGCTTTTCCTTGTTTGAGTCTACTGGGAGGAGGCTGGTAGCCATGTAGTATATGGCTTTCACAGTGTTCAACCTTATTTCTCTCACATTTAGCAGCAACTTCCTGTTGCACATCGGGGGGGGGGGGGGGCAATGCCAGCTAGCTTGTAGAGTTTATCAACAAGTGTAGGTTTAAGACATCCTGTGATTATTCTGCATGTTTCATCCAATGCTATGTTCACCTGCTTTGTATGGGCAGACTTATGCCAAACAGGGCAGGCTACTTGGCAGTTGAGTAAGACAAGACTAGGGCTGATGTTCTTACTAATTTTGGGTCTGCACCCCATATGCTGACAGTAAGTTTCCGAAGGATGTTATTGCGTGCAGCTACTTTGTGTTGGGTGTTCAAGCAGTGTTTCCTATATGCTAGTGTTCAATCTAAGGTGACACTGAGATATTTAGGATGGAAAGCTCTTGACCTTCCCAGGTTCAAGCTCTTGACCTTCCCAGGTGACTTTCAATTTCCTGTTGGCTTTACGGTTGCGTAGATAGAATAATAATAATAAAACTTGGCAGGGTTAGGCTCCGGCTGGATATCTTTGAAGTAGCTGGAGAGGTCTTTCAAGGCATTAGTAAGTTGGATTTCAACTGTTTCAAAATCTTTTGCTTGTGTTGTTAGGCCAAGGTCATCAGCATATATAAAGCTCTTTGTGAGTGGTGGTTGTGGCTGATCATTAGTAAAGATATTAAACAAGTACAGTGCCAGAACGCTGCCTTGGGGTAAGCCATTCTTTTGCTTCCTCCACCTACTTTTCCTGCCTTGAAACTCCACATAGAAGCTACGGTTTTCTAGGAGAGTCTGGATATTCTAGGAGAGTCTGGATATAGTCTTGGGTAATATGGTAGACTTTCTGCAGCATTTTCCTATGTAGCACCACGTCATAAGCTGCTGTTAGGTCAACAAAAATGCTGTAGTAATGCAACCTTTCTCATATCCTTCCTCAATGTGCTCAGTCAGATTAAGAATTTTTTAAGATGTTTGGTGCTGTGGAGCAGTACCAAAAACACCCTCCTCCCTTAATACATGGATGTGAGATCTCCCATTGGAAGACACGCTTTCTCTTAAGGGAAATTAGACTTGGTGACACAGTCTGGCCAAGAGGAGCCTTCCACCTGGAAACCATGGCCACGGTTTTTGAGGTACCTGGGAGGAGTGGCTGTGGACATCGGCCTCCTGGCATTACTAAGATCATAATCTCACAAGTTGATGGGAATGGGAACAGAATGGGCAGTAAATGCAACTAACTGTGGGAGTCAGATATCTACAGACCTTCTCTTTCCATGAGCACTTCTCTGATGAGAACATCAGAGTTTTGGGATGCTGTGCAGATGACACCCAATCTATTACCTCTTTCCACCCAAAGTCAAGGAAGGTGTCCTGGTCCTAAACCAGTTCTGTCATCAGTAAGGTACTGGATAATGGCAAAAAAATGAAACCTTATCCAGTCAAGGTGCTCTTTGGCCCCTTCTATACCGCCATATAAAATCCAGATTATCTGGTTTGAACTGGATTATATGGCAGTGTAGACTCATATAATCCAGTTCAAAGCAGATAATGTGGATTATCTGCTTTGATAATCTGTATTATATGGCAGTGTAACGACAGATCAGATTCCAAATTAGGTTCACATTTGCTCTGAAAACACAACTTCACAGTAATTTTGTCTGCTTCTTTTCTTTTTGATACCTAAACTCTATTTCTAAATGCTCACCTACAATATTAGAATGAAAAAATTAATAGGGGACAGGATTATTATTGAAAGTACGGCACGGCACTTTGATCATGCTTCCTTGCAGCTACACCTATGAATAAAATAATACCAATAAACACAACAACATCAG